CCCCAAAACCCCAAAACCCCAAAACCCCAAAACCCCAATTATTTAATAATTTTCATATAAAAATAAAGCTTGGCAAATATGAAAGAGGCAAGACTTTTAATTTAAGTTTTGGTGGTTGGGCTCTAAAGGGCTGGAATTGGTGCCTAGAGGGACAGAGGGCTTGGATTAGGGGTGCAAAATGGGGAAACGGGGTGAATAGGAGGTATAGGCATGCCAGAGGGATAGTCAGATGAAGAGTAAGAGTTTTTTCGGAATTTTGAGGATTCTGACCTTTTTTAGATAGTGAAGAATATCTCACCCGAAATTTTTCACCTGAGATAGATCAGAACATTCACACAGTATTTATGAATAACTCAAGGTAAAGTTTCTCTTCTAAATTTCGTCACTGTCATAAATAAACAAGTGAGAAAAATGTGGGATTTAGTCAATCAGTCAAGCTTGAAATTGATGTCACTAATGTATAGTATCTTCAACTTGAACCTGCGGAAATCGAGCTGTAGTTCTAAATAGTAATGTCCTGTTTACCCTTTGCTTTAGAGAGCTTTCTTCAGATCAAGCCGTATCATCACATAAAATAACTTGTCAGATCTGGGGTTTCTCACAGTAAGTTCAGTCATATAAATGACCATGCTTTGTAATGAAGATACCCCTTAAGGAAGTGTATTGGTAAAGGAGCTAGACTAGGCCCCATACATTTATTATGCTCTTTACGCTGAGAACGAACTGAAATGTAATCTAAACAGGCAGCTAGAGGATATGAGGTTTCTTTGTCACCAGCTGTTTTAGGATAAAAAGAATCATAAATTCAGTTGCTTAAAATGTTCTAGAAGAAGATTTACTTGTAAATATCTTAACTATTCTGTTTTAGCTCACTAATATTTGAAATAAATTTTGAAATAGATAAGATAATTAGAATTTACACTAAACCTTACTCAGTGTTGCCATAATTGGTTTCTGAGTGAACATTCTTATTAAAATGGGAAAATTCTTGCGAAGTCTTTTCGAAGCAGAAGAGCTGGTCATTTAAATCCAGCTCTCGAGGCTAAACTTTTGGTGCAACCTGAATATCTTGACATTAAAGAACAATTGGTTACATTACACTTCATCAAATTTTGAAAATTTTCAAACAAGAGTTTCTTAAAACCAAAATAGAAACAAATTGTATCCCCAAATAAATCAAAGGGGTCACGAAAGAAGAGGAGGACTGTTAATGTTACCCAAAGAGTAAAGGTATGACTTAGTCGATAATATTTCAAGAGCTTCAGTCCTAAGTCACCTAAAGATCAACAAGAAAAGAAGAGCTCGATCTTTAGTGCTAAGTAGGTTAAATTCTTAACATCTCAGGAATTTGAAATTAGGCAAGGGAAAATAAATCAGTGAACCTCCAAGTTGATGTTTCTCAGGGTACTTTAATATCTAATAACAATAGATTATTTGAACTCAGCCATGACTGCAGATGCAAGGCCAATGAATACTAATAAAAACATGACTTACTCTAAAAGCTTTCACAGAAAAGGCAAGTCATTGATCCAGAAGAGGATTACCAATATTGAGAACTCTATCGATGAGTAATTCATTCAAATATGATTTCATAGAATGGAAGTAAAATTCCAGATTGATTCTGACAAGACTAAGATGCACCACACCAAGAGGTTCTTATCACCAGAAGATGGTCTGAACTTTAGCTCTTCGAACCTGCTGATGAGTGAAACTAACGAAAACATGAAGAGGACTACTTTCTCAATGTAAGAGTTCCCATTGACTTTGTATTAGAAATACTGAGAAAAATACACCAAGAAGGTTAAGTCTTTTGACACCAAATAAGGCAAATTTTCAGAAGGATGCTGATTGGCAGACCCAGGACTTTCTCGATCGCAACAAAGAAGTTTACAACGTAGCGTCATCAGCTTGAAATCTAGGTTCTCCAAGAAGCATATGCTTCTCTTGAAGTGCCAAAAAGTCACCAGAAAGTGTTTGATAGAATTTTTAAGACCTTTGAGAAGAACTGAAAAGGTAAATTTCACTAACATTTTTAGATTTAGTGAAGTTTCATGGCAAATCAGAGACAGATTTGGAGAAATTACTCAATCTGAACCAGTGAAAAATCATTCAGTTAGAGACTAGACTTGCGGAGTACAAGAAAATGTAATTTAGGCATTATTCCTTAGGATGTCTGATGCCGCAAGGAGGGAAATAATCTCCCAAAACAAGAAACGGATGCGAGAAATAGACCAGAACTTAGAAGCTTTTGATAACCTGTATGATTGTTTTATCAATTCGGTAGGAAATAATATAAGATTTTCAAAAAGAAAGATTGCTAATCAGAGCAAGGTCACTTTTGAGCTAGAGAAGTTATACTCAATATCTTCTATCGGTGCTAACACAGTTGAAACAGATAGATACTCTAAGAAGTAATTATCATGAGCTGATCCCTTTAGAGAGTTACAAATTGCAGGTTTCGAAGTCTGGAAGAATATGTTGAAAAGGTACCTCACAGTTTCTTATCCATCTAGCAAAGGGATTGATATTCAGAATATGAGCGCTCAGTCAATGATAAAAATTCTCCAAATAAAAGGGCCAAATGCGTTCAGAAGTATGTTTGAGGCTATATCTAAATAATTAACAAATAGGTGTTGAGGTCCAAACAGACCAAATTGAGCTACAATCTGAGATGAAAATATTAGAGAAGAAGTAATAAGCCAACTGACCTCTAGCTTCGTGAATCTCAAGGCTCAAAATGAGCAGCTACAGCAAGAAAAAGAAGAAGATTTGGAAAGAATTAGGGAGTAATCCTCAAATTCTTATCTGAAATATAGACTCCAGATCTTGGAAAGGACACTTGAAGAGCGTATCAAGGATCTTCAGATGAAGAAAATCTCACTTGGTAGGTTTCCCGTTCACCATTAGAGAACAATCTTGAGGAGAAAGAGGTTGAAATCACTAAGCTTAATTACAAAGTGAATGAGCTTAAGGACCAGGCTGAGCTGAGAAAAGAAGAGTTTGAAACCCAAAAGAAGAAGTAAAGCTAACTTTTAATATATAGGCTAAGCTCATTAGCCAAGAACCTCAATGAGATCAAGATGGAAAGATCTAAATGGAAAGGAAAGTTCCAGAAAGATGAATTAGATTCACAATCTGCTCTCTCGATCTCTGATAGTGATGAAGAACCTTCTAATAAAAGACCAAGCATGCACCCCAGGAGAAGGAGTAAGAATGCTTCTAATTTCTAGTTTCTGCTTTACAAGAGATGAAAGAGAGTGATCTACTGAGAGGTAGTAGCATTACTCCAATTGATGAAGAAGATGAAGAGGATCATCCTAACATGAATAAAACTACGACCTTCACTAACATTGACAAGCTGGATATTAGTGATGAAGGTAAGCTATGTCCCCTTGACTAATGTCTCACACTAAATAGAGAGTATGTCAGAATCATATTCAGAAACTTCCAAGTTTGAGTACGAAAGAGGGTATTATTACTAAACCTCATATCTTCAGGTCTAAAAATACAAGTTCGAACTTGATAAGGTCGAACACTAAACTAAGAGAATATGCCAGAATGAGCACATTCAGGTCTGACAGTAGCAACAATAGTAAAAAGTTCAAGTTCAGGAACAAAGTTGGCCGAAGAGATGTACTTGTCCAGACTGACAAGAAAATGTTTGACGTAAGCTCTCAGCCACAAAAATAGAAATTCTTGAAGCATAAGTGCAATGAATTCCTGAAAAAGAGAAAAGGAAGAGAAAGGAACAAACTTGTACAGACAGAGGAGGAAGTCTCTGAAGCAGAGGAGCAACGTCAGAAGGAACTCTTACTCCAGTACGGGCATAAATTTTCAAGAGCTGGTATGTACATTTGTTAACTTCAGGCGATTCAAGCTTCAGAGGGTTTTCTAGTGGAGAAAATAATGAAATTGTATATAAGAATCCCCAAAGAGCTTCTCTTCAGCTGTTCCCGCTGACTATTCAGGAAGAGTCTGATATGTTTGAAGTTACTGGAACTCCTGCCAGGAGGGAGAGTAACGCAAAAGATTCTTTCAGATACCCTCTGAAGAGTACTCTATCTAAATAATTTCTTTAGGTTTGAGAAAACCCAGAGAATCCCAATTTAAGCAAGGGTCATTTAACTGTTTAGGAAGCAGAAGGCAGAGAAGTTTTATGATGATGGGATAAGCTCTGATTCCAAGAGTAAGCAACCTTTCTTATAACTCTTTTAATTGTTTTCAGAGAAGAAGAAGGCAAATGTTAAGAAGAAGATATATTTTCTTATTGATCATTTTTAGATGAGTTCTATCCAAATAGATGCTTATCTTCCTCCTCCTAAGAGAACACCTAACTTGGCATCACAAAGAAGGAAGACAAGGATGCTCTCCAAAGGAAATTCTCAGCAGGTCAGCTTCTTTTCAAGGGGACTTGATTCTTCAAGGTAAGAAAATACTCATTTTTAGAGGAAATAACTCTTCAGAAGGAGAACGCAATAGTAAGAGTAAGCTTTTAGTAATCTTTAGTGTCTCAATTCCGAGGTGAGTCTCAAGATGGTTAAAGCCTTATTTGGTCATCCTTAGTAGACAAGAATAATGAAAATTGAAAATAATGATGATTCATATTATTTTCCGTGAATTTTGAAAATAGAAAAAACCAATATCTTTTACATATCTTGGGGTTTTGGGGTTTTGGGGTTTTGGGG